GTTTTTGGGCGTCTGATCAACAATGTACGTTCAGGATCTGTGACACGTCTGTCGTTCCAGCGCGATCAGGTGCGTCGACCATTTCTCTCTGTCTCTGTCTCTGTCTCTCTCTCTCTCTCTCTCTCTCTCTCTCTCTCTCTCTCTCCTCGTGCTCGTTTCTTCATTTCCTCCTTTTTTTCCTTTCTTCCTGTCGGGTCTTTTTTTCTTTGCCTCCCTCCTTCCCTCTTCTCTCTCCTCTCTCTCTCCTCTCTCTCTCCTCTCTCTTCTCTCTCTCTTTCTCTCTCTTTCTCTCTCTTTCTCTCTTTCTCTCTTTCTCTCTTTCTCTCTTTTCCCCTCCCCCCCCTCTCTCTCTCTTTCTCCTCGTACTCCTTTCTTCATCTCTTCCTTTTTCTCCTTGGGCGTCAGATGGAGTTGTATCTGGTCGCGATGATGGGAAGAATGGCTTACAAGGGCGTGCACGAAAGTAAAAACAAGCAAAAAAAAAAGAAGAAAAAAAATAATAGAAAAGAAAAAAAAGGAAAAAACACGATATACACTGTATGTGTTCATCAGTCGACTCCATTCTTTGCGATTTGACTACCGTCTTCACCAGAATACAACGGGGGGGGGGAAGACCGTCCGTTGTATTCGGGTGAAGACGGTAGTCAAATCGCAAAGAATGGAGTCGACTGATGAACACATACAGTGTATATCGTGTTTTTTCCTTTTTTTTCTTTTCTATTTTTTCTTTTTTTTCTTTTTTTTTTGCTTGTTTTTACTTTCGTGCACGCCCTTGTAAGCCATTCTTCCCATCATCGCGACCAGATACAACTCCATCTGACGCCCAAGGAGAAAAAGGAAGAGATGAAGAAAGGAGTACGAGTTCATCTGACGCCCAAGGAGTAGGAGTTGGATCTGGTCGCGATGATGGGAAGAATGGCTTACAAGGGCGTGCACGAAAGTAAAAACAAGCAAAAAAAAAAAGAAAAAAAAGAAAAAATAGAAAGAAAAAAAAGAGGAAAAAACACGATATACACTGTATGTGTTCATCAGTCGACTTCATTCTTTGCGATTTGACTACCGTCTTCACCCGAATACAACGGGGGGGGGAAGACCGTCCGTTGTATTCGGGTGAAGACGGTAGTCAAATCGCAAAGAATGGAGTCGACTGATGAGCACATACAGTTGGGCGTCAGATGTACCCCCTCCCCCTTAAAAAAAAAAAGTACGGTCATTATTATAGCTGTATGTATTTGGGGTATCTTTCAATCTCGATACAACAATAATGCCCGTACGTTGTATTCGGGTGAAGAAGGGTACGATCAGGGACATTTGTGTATGGGGTATCTTTTTTCAGTCTAGATACAACAATATAGCTGTATGTATTTGGGGTATCTTTCAGTCTAGATACATCAATAATATCCGCACGTTGTGTTCGGGTGAAGACGGGTGTGCTGATGTGTGTATCGTGTGTGATTGAGGTTTGTCAATATATAATCTTATGTTTATTATAATAATATTGTATAATACTGTATATAATTATTTCTGGCGACAACCCGTTCATCTAGCCGTCTATGGGCCTCGCTCCAATAAACACCACAGACACAACAGACGAAAAAGTATGGCGGTGTATCTTTCCATGTTCTCGCGGAAGATTCATTCTCATTTTGCACAATTGGTGAGTAGTGGAGCGAGGTCCTACATAAAATCGGCAAAAAAAAATAAAAAATAAAAAAAATAAAAAAACCTTGATATAGTTCATAATAACGGAATAACAATGTCCGGTCCATCCCTCCTCCTCCTCCTCCTCCTCCCCGCCAATCATTCTCCACCACTCTTCTTTTTGTTGTTTTTTTTGTTTTTTTGGTTTCTTTTTCCTCCTTTTTATCTCTCGATCTTATGTCAACACCATCTCTCTCTCTCTCTCTCTCTCTCTCTCTTTTTTTTTTGTCCATTCCCTTTTTTCCGCCATCAATCTTATAAGATGCTCGATTATATTTTCGCCTAAGGTGTTTTTTTTTTTTTGTTGAAATTCCTCCGTTATTGTCTCACCTCCTCCCTTTTCCTAATACTCCTCTTCCCCCTCGCTTCTATCCTCTTCCCTCCTCTCTCAAGGACAAACAGGAGGAGCAGGAGGAGGAGGTGGAGTGGGTACGCTTCTTGGAGCGAGCATGGTGATCTCCTCGTCATCGTTCTTCTCCTCTTTGTCCTTGTGCTCGGCCTTCCTCCCTCCTCCTCCCCCTCCTCCTCCCCCTCCTCCTGTCTCTCCGGCGACGTTCTTTATTCTCACGGCATGATTTCTTCCTCTCCCTTTCGCTGACCTCTTGCACTTCGTCTCCTTTTTCTTTCGTCTTCTTATTCTCGCTCTGCCTCTCTCTTTCTCCTTCTCCGCATCTCCTCCTCCTCCTCCTCCTCCTCTTGTGTCTTTTCCTTCTTTGGTATCGCAGATATGGCCATCTCCTCCTCCCTCTCCCTCTTCGTCCTTGTTCTTGCTCCTCTCCTCCTCCTCCTCCCTTCTCCTCCTCCTCCTCCTCCTCCTCACCCTCCACTTATTTTCGAGTCCTTCTTCAGCACTACCGTCATCGCCTCCACTTTGCGGAGAAGGAGAAGGAGACGTTGGAGGGGGAGCAGGAGGAGGAGGAAGAGGAGGGGGAGGAGGAAGAGGAGGGGGAGGAGAAGGAGGAAGAGGAGGGGAAAGAGGAAGAGGAGGGGGAGGAGAAGGAGGAGGGTGCGGCCTCTATCAGCACTACCATCACCACCTCCATTCCTCCTCCTCCTCCTCCTCAACGTTCTCCTCTGAGAGAGCGCGCGGGTTTTTTGAAGGGCATGGCAATCTCCTCTCCTCACCGGCCTCTTTAGTGTCTCAGATCCCATCGACTTTCTTCTTCCTCTCCGTTATCCTCCTCCTCCTCCTCCTAGTGCATGTTCTTATTCTCCATTTTCTTCCGCCTCCTGCCCCTCCTCCCCCTCCTCATCCTCTTCCTTTTCCTCCTTTCCTCCTTTTCCTCCTCTTTTCCGTGCTGGGGTGGGGTTAAGTACTCATCTTGGGGCTTTACTTTCACCCTACAGTCTTCACCCGAATACAACGTACGGTCATTATCACTGTATCTAGACGCAACGTTGCCCCAAATACAGCTATAATGACGGTACGTTGTATTCGGGTGAAGACTGTAGTCAGCTTAGCCGTTTGGTTGAGCGTCCGCGTGTTCGATTCTTGGGATCGGCTCTTGGATTCGATTCGACTCTTTCTCCTCTTCCAGCTCTTTCTCGTCTCCTCTTTTCCTCCTTTCCTCCTCTTCCCTCTTTCTCCTCCTCCTCCTACTACTTGTCATCCTCCTCGTCCTTCTTGTCCTCTTCTTCCTCCTCCTGCTCTCCTCTCCTCCTCCTCCTTTCTCCTCCTCTTTCTCCTCTTCTGTAATATAAAATTGTTTTCGAAGGCATGGAGATTTCCTCCTTGTCCTTCTCCTCTTCCTCCTCCGCCTCCTCCTCCCCTTCCTCTTTTATCGTCCTCCTCCTCCCCTCCCTCTTTTCTCCTCCTCCTTGTCCCTCTCCTCTTCCTCCTCCTCCTCCCCTCCCTCTTTTCTCCTCCTCCTTGTCCTTGTCCTCTTCCTCTTTTCTCGTCCTCCTTGTCCTTCTCCTCTTCCTCCTCCTCCTCCTCCTCCTCCTCCTCCCCTCCCTCTTTTCTCCTCCTCTTCCTCCTCCTCTTCCTCCTGTCCCTCTTTTCTCCTCCTTTTCCTCCTCCTCCCCTCCCTCTTTTCTCCTCCTCATTCCCTCCCTATTTTCTCCTCCTCCTCCCCTGCCTCTTTTCTCCTCCGCCTCCTCCTCCTCTGTGCTCCTCTACCCTCCTTCGCGAAGGGTTTAATCGGACGGTGCTCGCTTTCGCATGCGCAATGACTGATCGCGCGATCGGTGTCCTTTTTTTTTTTTGCTGATCGGGCTGTCCTTCAGGACATCCGTTAAAATTGGAACAATTGCAGCAATGGCCCCTGCGCGAGGATGCCACGCATAAATAGAGAAATGTTAGAAATTAGTATTAAAAAAAAAAAGAAAGCCCACGTGTCACCCTGTCAAAGTGTCGAAGAAGGCTCATCACTGGCCTGTCAGATAAGAGACCAAGGATCCCAATCCCGGCCCTAGGCAAAACCAGCTGTTGGTCGTTCTTTGGGCAAGGCGTAGCGCGCTGTTTTCCTTCTCGCTGTTTTTTTTTTTTTTTTTTGATGCGCTGTTTTTTTTTTTTTTTTTTCCCTCACTCGAGTTCTTTTTTTGTTTTTTAATGAGGTCTCGTTTTTGACGACTCGCGGCCGCTGAGCTCTCCTTCCTGGAAACAAGAATAGGGTTGACGTCAACAAAATTACGCTTTCTGC